GAACGCGCGAAGGGGGCGAGGCCGGGGCCCCAGGGGCGGGCCTCCAGGAGGAAGCGCGTGCGCACACCAACCCCGCAGGTTCTCGGTACCAGCCACCCACGTGGCGGATACTACCTAACCTTCCCCGCCAAGCCTGGACAGTTAGCCACCCCCTCGGAACCACAAAGGTGCCACCATTTATGGGGCAACTACCGCATGCCAGGTCTTGTCTTTAGCGCTTGGCTATAGCAAGACCCCCGAGTCCCAGGTGGGCACCCTTAGGTGCCAGACTCCTCTAGCCAGAGTGAATGCTGCTTGTCGCCTGACGTAGAGTAAGGCCCTAATTGGACGTTCCAAGACCAAAAGAACCCTTACTGCTGCCCTGAGACTTTCCCATCTCGGCGGGGTGTAAAGGCCTGAGGGCTTTACTTTACTACCACCACCTCGGGGCCGCCAGAACCATCAGCCCCAAGAGGGCCGTGTGTCTGATTTGTTCACTGCTGTATCTCCAGGAGCTAGGATAGTGCCTGGTGCACTGCAAGTGCTCCATCGATATCTGCGAAGTGACCTTTCTCCGGAAGTTTGGGGCAGGTGGTGGGCCATGAGTCTCCTGGTGGATGCTCAGCTGTTTCTGGGCTGTTTTCTCAGTTTACTCATTTCCTTCAGGAGAAGGAACGTGCTTGGGACTCTTTCACGACCCTTCCAAGGTGTCCCCATAGGCTGGGGATAATAAACAACCCTGCATCCAGCAACCTTAAAACCCTCCTCAAGTTGGGTGGGGACCGCGCTGTTATCATAGCATCGGCACTGGCTGGTGAGATGTGGGGCAAGCTTGGTTGGGTGGTGGGTAGGGGTGTAGTCCCTGGGCTCATCTAGTAACCTGAGGCGGGGGCAAAGAAGCAGGGCTTTAATGTCGGGAGGCTGGGCGTCCTACAAGGCACAAACACCCTCTCCAGGACCAAATAAATAACAAGTTCATCACTGTGAGAAGGTAAGGTCTGGGGAGGGGGCAGTGACTGAGCTCTCCAAGGGCTGGTGGGAGAGCAGGGCTGCAGTCTGTGAGTTGCTTCCTGGGCGTCTTGGCCTCCGAAATGGGTCCAGTTCCGGGAATTACTCACTCTCCGAACCTGAGTAGTCAGCCACAAGGGAGGAACTGAGGCTGCAGAGCTGTGGTGTGTCCTGGAGGCTGGCTCCCTTCTGGGAGGAGCCAGGCAAGGACTGGGGCCTGTCCTGACAGCTCCCCTCCTGCCCCAGTGGTCCACTGTTCTGGGGGGACTCAGCTGTTTCCTGAGAGCAGTCTCGGGGGGATGCGGACCTGTCCTGGGCAGTCCCCTTTGGCTCCCGGGGTTCCCCAGACTTGGGGGTCTCAGCCGTGTGCTGGGGGCTCTCTGGGACCTCCCGGGACCGCCGCCGCACAATGCCCAGGTGTCCCACAGTGATGGGGGAGCCGGTGGGAGCAGATCTGCGGTTCTGGGCCAGCAGCTTCAGGACACTGCCGGCTTTACTGTTGCTGCTGCTGCTGCCGGTGCCGCCAGGTCCCGGGGTGGAGGGGAACCAGGAGCGGCTGATGATCTCGGTCCGCTTGAGTTTCTGCTTGTCCTCATATGCTGGGGGGGAGAGGGAGGGGGAAGAAGGAGGTCCAGAGCTGCCCTCTGCCCCAGCAGCCCCCTCCCCTTCCCCTCGTGCCCATCGGCCCCCACGCACAGTCGAGGGTGTGGAACTTGAGCAGGGCGGCCAGCCTGCGGTCGTCCTCCGTCTCCGGCACCAGCGGGATGGCCAGGCTCGCCTTGGCCTGCAGTGCCTGGTCCCTCTCCTCCTCCTCCTGCATGGCTTTTTTCTTCTCCTGTGTGGAGGAGACAAGGGGTGGGGAGGGATGGCGGGTGTCAAACCCATGCCTCTCTCATGCCCTCTAACCTGAGGTGGGGGCGTCCCTCCAGCCAGCAGCGTCTCAATTTCCTTCCCTTTAAGCTTATGTGAGGAAAGGGCCTTACACAGTGCCCGGGACAGAAGTCGCTCAACAAGCAAGAGACACTATCATTAATATGTGGGCCACTGGGTCCTTCACTCATTCACAAGTATTTACAGAACGCCCACCTGGTGCCAGGTCTTGTTCTAGACACTAGGGACACAGCAGTGAGCAGACAAAACCCTTGTCCTGGTGGAGATGACATTCCAGTGGGTGAGTGAGACAAAGTGACGAGGGGAAGAAGAGTGCTGGGTAGGGACAGGGAGTGGGCAGAGTTCAACCTTAAATGGGGCATGTGGGCAGGAGGCAAGGGTCAGGGACAGTCTCCCTGAGAAGATCATGTTTGAGAAAAGATGTGAGTAAGGGATCCCTGTGGGTATCTGGTGGAAAAGTGTTTCAAGGCGGAGGGAACAGCCTGTGCAAAAGCCCTGAGGCAGAAGCATGCTTAGTGCGGTTGACAATGAGGCGGCCAGTGTGGCTGGAGAAGAATGAGCAAGGGGAAGGTGGAGATGGGGGTAGGGAGGGGAAGGGGCAGATCATTTGGGCCTGGTGCGCCATGAGGAGGACTTTGGCTTCTGCTTTAAGTAAGTGGGAGCCATAGAGGGTTCTGACCACAGGAAGGATGTTATGATTCAGGTGCTTGCCGGCGCCCCCTGGTGGCTTTGAGGGGAACAGGCTGTGGGGACAATGAGGGCTCAGGCCTGGGGACCAGGGTGGAGGGACTGTGCTGGTCCAGGCAGGAGCTGATGAAGGCTGTGGAAAGTGGTCAGAGCCTGACAGAATCTGCTGACAGATGGGGAAGCAGGAGTGGTGGTTACAACAAGACGAACCAAAGCTGGCTCTGGGCTTTGGGGGCTGAGAGCCTGTAACAAGAGAGATGCCTCCCTTACTGAGAAGGGGAGGATGTAGGCAGGGTGGGTTAGGGACTGAAGGGGGTTCTTTGGGATGTTACTTTGAGGGTCCTTAGACCCTGAGACCCTCAAACATTTGGGGATGCTCAGAAAGCAGGGGACACAAGAGCCCAGGGCACAGGCTTGGCCAGAGGGATACACTTTTAGTAACAAATAATTAGTAAGAAAACCAGCAGTTTTACCTCTAATAATAACGACCACAGGATGATCAGAAGAAGAGATGTGGAAAGAAGGCGGCAGCAGGATGATGAAACCAGAGCTTGTGCCCTGCTATGGGGTCACCCGGGCACTCCTGTCTGGGCTCCATTTGGGCGTGAGCTGCCCCACAGAGCAAGGGAAGAGGCAGAGGTCCTCCTGTCCTGAGGGACTCTCCAGAGCCCCGCCGGATGCCCACAAAGGTGAAAAACCTATTTACATTATACTCATCTGACCCCAGACCCCCACTCCCTGTGATTTAGCTCCATCAAGCATTTTTGGCACAACTGTAGTAGCCACTGTGTCACTGACAACAATGCCTCGGGGTGTCCTCCAGCCAGGACCACGTCCCCTGGGGTCCCGGGTCTGCGTTTGCACCTGCGCCCTCAGTGGCTCTGTAATCAGGCACAGGTGTCTTGCCCAAGCATTTACATATTGAGATACACGTTATATATTTTGCTGTAGGTGACTTTCCCTTTTTCTTTCCAGGGATTGACTCTAGGGATGATTTTGGAAATTATGTTGGGGGCAGGTTGCTAATCTATGGATTTTGTTTCAGGACAGATGAGTGGGCCCATGAAATATGTTCGGAGCTCTCCCTGCTCTGATGTTGGTGATGCTGGGCACCCACTGCCTGCCTGTGGTCCAGACCAGGGGCCAGAGCTCTGCTCACCCGGAACCTTTTCCGCAGCATGCTGTTGAGGGCAAAGTCGTCCTTCCAGGCGCTCTGGGCCTCCTGGATGTGGCTCAGGGTGGGGAGGGCCTTCTTGAGTGTGCTCCGGTCGGCCTCGCCGTGCTCCAGGCGGAACATGGCATCTGTCTCCAGCTTCTGCTTCTTCTCGTGCTCTGCAATGGTGACAGCGTGGCTGGACCTTCGGGGCCCCGGCTGGGGGCTGGGGTCGGGGTTGGGGTCAGGCTGGGAGTCCACCGATGGTACTCACCTGTTGTCAGCACCTGCTCATTGTCCGCCATGTCCCAGCGCTCCTCCTTGCGCTGGGCGCCGCTCACGATCACATAGTCGCAGTTGGCGGGGTCTGTCTGCATCTCGATGTAATTGACGCAGAGGTGGCATTTCATTCGGAATCTGGACAGTGGGGAGGGCAGTGGGCAGAAGTCAGGACGTTGTGGCCCCCCAAGGACACCCTGTGACCCCGCCTGCTTCCTTCAATCTGTGCGTGCCATAGGCAAGTGTCACTGAGCACCTAAGACATGCTGGGCTCCGTAACTGGGGGTAC